CGCAACAACTTTATATTATTTAAAGTAATACATTATTATTAGTATATTATTTTCACAGATACCTTATATATTAACAATGTTGTAAAATAAGTCAAATATTGATTTTTTTTTTGGTTTTGTAATTGTGATACCGCTCTCACGATTACTCTTATTATAAGTAATCTCAGCGGAAGACTTTTAGAAAATGATTATTATGGATATAAATTTACGTCAAACTTTTTATCTTCAATTAGAGGAAGAAAGAGCACACTTTACTAAACCATAATGAACCAATTAACAAAAATACATATTACATGCAAGAATAGAATTTAACTAGGTATGATGACCCTAATGAAAATTCGGACATATTTAATGGAGCAATTTCAAAAAATCATTTCTCTTAGACCAGTCATGTAAATAACTTACAATTAATACCATACCTTCTACCATGAGTCTAAATCACTCATTTAAAAAATTTATTGAAATGTACTTAACCATTCAAGAGAAATAAATAAAATGGTACAGACACTCAGTTTAAAATCCGAAACAAGGGAGGGAGCTTTGAAATTTTCTAATAAATTTCTCACTGCAAATAATACCAAATTTTATGCTAAGATTTAACCAACACAAGTGGAGTACATTTTCCAGTTGGAAAAAAGTCATTTGAGCGAGTGACACAGAACGGAAGCACGGTAAAGAATTAACTTCTACGAATTAATCCTATAGAACAAAATAACATTCGGAATCCACCGAAAAATCTGGAATCCACCAGAAAATAGAAAAAACTCTAAATATTTTATTAAAATTCGAAATTCTTCTCCAAATAAAGTCCTAAGGCAGCTATTTATACTAAAAAACTGAAAACCCTAATTAAACTAAGAAAATACTAAAAATTACCAAAAATGGCAAAAACGAGTTAGAGACTGATTCTAGTAGATCTCGTAATTTTGGGAACAGCCCAATTTACGGAATCCTAATCCGATTTTCCTATGATTTGATATTAATTTTCTAAAACTTGCCTAAAATAGCAAAAACGAACGTTTGGGAGTCTAAACGACGTTGGATTGCTGAAATTTGACGTGATTCATGAGCTTTGCTCATGGGTTTTGTTCCTTGCGCCGTTTCACTTGTGATAGAGTTCGTTTCGTACTCAAATACAATTTGAGTACGTAGAAAACCCTTATTTTTCCATAATTTCTTTCGATATTTCCACCAATGCCCATAAATAACTCTTCTCCGAATTAAGTAATTATTTTGCAATTCGAATCCAATTTGACGTTCTTTATCAGCGAATAAAACTTTAGTTGTAACAGAAAACACTAGATTTATCCTATTGTAGTGTGGTGGTGAGAAATAATTTATAACTAATTCATTAATTACTTATCCAGTTCGTTAAAAAGACCTATCAAACTGATGAGAACAGAGAGAGATGCAGAGACTCACAAAATATCATGACTTTATAAGGAGAGTACATATTTAAAAGGGAATTTACAAACTTCAAGACAAAACACGGAGAATTACTAACAGAAAAGTGTATATGCATAGTTTTGATAAAATTCGCTTTTGTCTACAAAATACTTAAGGACTACTGATTACATGTTCCAAAATATTGTTCTTTAATAATTTCCACCAACCGGAGGAAGCGATCGATAGTAAATACCTAAAATCGTATCAAAAGTCTTTACTAGCATATTATACAAGTAGAACCACATAGCTAGTTAGAGGGCCAACACAATCCACATCCCCTCCATATGAACTCTTCCTGATTCTCAAGCTCGACTCCAACTTCACTCCTCGGGCTCCAAATCGGTTGTACCTACAAACATATAACACCTATATGAGTCTTTGAGGACTCAATGAGAAATTTAAAGTACTATTGAGTACACATAACACATAGCACATAGAGCATATATATATATATATATATATATATATATATGAGTTAATTGCATATACCACCCTTGTGTTATCTCTAATTGTCAAATACCCCCTGTCAAAAAAAATTCACCGAAACCCCCATGTGTTAACAAAGTCGGGGCATCGAGACCCCTGGAGGCAAATCGTTTCACTCACTCGCGGGTTGTGCGAATTTTTATCTTATTTTCACGGTGAAATGTCATAATTACCCCTTTTATAAATTAAAAAAATATGTATGGTTAAATTATGAATAACCTACATTTTGAGGACCAAATTGTAATTTCTAAAATTACAAAATAATTAAAAAAAAGCAAAGAAAAGAAGAGTCGTCTTCTTCCTCCTCGTTCCGGTCCGCCAGCCACCGCCGGCGTCTCGCACCACAACCACCCACTCCGTCTTCAAATTTCTCTTCCTCGACAACGTCGCCGTCTGGAACCACCAATTTTTTTTTTTTTTTTGATCAAATGTAAATATTTCATATCATAGAGAGTTGTGTATGGGTGAAGATGGTGAAAAAAATTCTTCTCCTGCTCCCCACCTTTGTTGCTGAGATCGGAGCTGCGGTAGGACGGCGGGCTCGAGAAATGTCGATGATGTGTTTAGCTGGGTGGGTGTGGGGTGGGGGGAGGGAGAAGAAGAATTTTCTTTTTTTTTTCTTTTTTTTTTGTCTATATGTAATTTAAATGTAAAAGAATTAAAATTAATAACATATAAAAACTTTTAATATCACAAACTAAAAAAATGCTTATAAAATTAAAATTAATATATTATAAAATTTGGTAAAATTAAATTAATTACAAAGTTTTAAAAAATTAATACATAAAATATTTATAAATCAAACATACTTTACTAATTGCTGAAAAAAAACCTAGGGTATTTTTGAAATTTTAATCGCAGTCAACTCCTAAAAGCACAGTAGGTGTAGTGAGCTTTGAATTTGGTAACACAAGGGGGTTAGTGAATTGTTTTTTGACATGGGGTATTTGACAATTAGAGATAACACAGGGGTGATATTTGCAATTAACCCGGTGCTCATTAGTTAAAATTTTCCTTTTTTTTTTTTTTCTGCAGTTCTAATGATGCAATGTGTTATATTTATGTCGTAATAATTTTTATTCAGATTTTTTAGCATATGTTACTTCTGCATATTTTAAACTTTTTATATAACCTCCGTTTGTTTGAGCCCTTTTGTTAGGGGAAATGGTTTTGGTTCCTCGGTTAGAGTTGAATAGTTCTAGCAACTCTTAGCACCATGTATGGTACCTTCATCCTCTTTTGTTCTTTGTTATTTTGCTTACGTGAATCTGTTTTGAACATGTTAAAATTTTGAAAACAGAATCTCTATCTAGCTTGCAATTAATATGTGATTGCATTTTTGCATCAAAATTTGGTTATTCATCATGAATTTGTTTGAAAAGACCTTAGTTAACACTTGCAGTTCTGAAAGTTTCTGCCGTAATTGAATTTCACAGAGATCTAAAGCCACCAAATATCTTGGTAACATTCTTTCATTATTTCCTTTATTATGTTGTCATTTTACCTATCAATAGATTTATGATGAAATTCTTAAAATATGAAGTGTTGTTATGTTAGTGCAATTTTGGGCAAGACGACTCTGAACTCAAACTTTTTTTTTCATTTATCTAGATCTTTTGATTACCAGGTAACGAGTGATGAAGAAGAACATGTACTGGTGAAAATTTCTTACTTTGATCTTGCTAGAATTTACCAAGCTCCCTTAAAGCCACTATCTGAAAACGAGGTAAAAAACTATATTTGATTTTCCCCCCTTCTATTATAATTGAGAGAAATGAATTGCTGGACAATTCAACTCTCACTTATGTTAAGAAGACACAATCATTACTTTCGGGAAAAAGGTGAGGATTATATGTAGCACGAGAAGGTTAAATGTTTTGCACTTTTGCAGCCCGTCAGTTTTTTTGTCGTGATAATTTATGTTTTTTAATTATGTTATTTTTTTTGTAATTTAGTTGATATTCTCTTAAACATTGCTTTGGTAGGTACTCCCATTTGTTGGTATCAGATTTCCTCCATTACAAGCCAACAATGCAACTTGATATAACTTGCAAGAGTTTATGGTTGAGACACCAATTTATTCCTTAATCTGTGCTGCTAATTAATTATTGTTATTTGTGCTCTCACGGCTCACAGTTTTCTCCACTAATCACGACTCCAAATAGTTCTCTCACATAATTTGTGTTTATCTTCTTCAGCAATCATCCCTCCCCTCTCATTCACCTTCTTATTCCTATTTATGTCTTCTGTTTTTGCCTTACTATTTACGGGTTGTTGGTCGAGCAGTGGAAGAAGAACAAGATTTTTTCTTATATGTTATTTGTCTTAGTTGAATAAAAAAACATGAGAATACTTGGCAAATAAAAACTTACAAAATTCATCTTATATTATACAAGTTCCATAAAATTCTAAGAACCAGTGAGAGTTAATGCCCCTGCTGTCACATGCTCATGAAATTGACCTATTTCTCACAGTGTTTGCACGAGTAGCTCGAAGAGTTTGTTGTCCGCTTTCTTTTTGTCTAAATGTCTGAATTTCTTTAATGATATTGCACAATCAGTTGAATAGTTTAACATTTTCGCAAGAAACTTATCTATGTATTTTTAAAAGTCGTTTGACATGTACCTCTTTAACAAAAATGTATATCTTTTTATTGTGGAATTTACAAGGTTATTTGATATACCTAAATGGGCCGACCCAATGGGCCTTCAAATATATCTACTAATCAGGCCCATTACACGAAAGCCCAAATACCTTCAAAGTGAGGCTTGGGCCCAACAAAGTAAGCCCAACCCAATCACCGAGATATAAATAGGTGTTTTACTCATTTGTAAAGGTAAGTTCTCATTATTGACAATTCACCTCGAGTTTTATTCTCTCTACTCTCTCTACGATCCGTACATCTGACTTGAGCGTCGGAGGGGTTTCCGCCGGATCAACCCCCGGCTTAGTTCACGTGTGCTCTTTTCGCAGGGACCTCAGGAGCATCGAATTGACTAGCTACTGATCAGCTTTGCTCTCCCAGCTCGTTTTCTACATTATCCTAGGTAAGCTAAACTTTAGCATCATCATTTTGGCGCCGCATGATCACTCACCAAAGGAACGTGGTTAGAATCATCACTATCGCTCCCAAAATCCACGATTTGACGTCGAGAATAACGCCTACTAGCCACAACTCCATCCACTTGGTCACTAACGTGAATACTCGTTTCTACATCGTCACTCCAAGATTCAATGATCTCTCGCCGACCAAAACTTCCCCCGTTTGAAACAACACGCGAATCAGCACCCTCGTAAATTCGCCCTTCAAATTTGCCCGAACCGGGCTCAGAACCACGCCCTAACGCGCCCTCACGCGCGCACGGAACCCCAAGGCAGCCCTCCTCATGCGCGCGCGCGTCCTCCAGTGAAACAAGGCCACGTGGCTCTTTCCCAGCCACACACGCGCGCTCACGCGCCTTTAAACCGCCCAGCGACGCGCGCGTACGCGCGTCCTCATTGGGCAGCGCGCGCGCGTCCCCTACACTACCACCCTCCATCGACGCGCGCGCACGCGCCCCTTCATTGGGCAGCGCGCGCGCGTCATCTCCTCCTAATCCAACTGCCACCACGCGCGCGTCGGGACACGGGCCAATCCCGCGCGCGCGTTCGCCCACTCCCGACGCGCCCCCACCACCAGCTGGCCCACGTGGGCGGCTGCTTCTCTCTCCCCTACCCGAGGCGCGCACGTGGCCTCCTCCCGCTGGACCACGTGCCCCAATTCCTCTCTCGTCAGCCGCAGACCCGGCTTCCAATTCAACGGCTCGGCTCGGCTTCTCTCTAACCTCGGAGCGCGCGCCCTCACACGTTTTTGATTGGCTAGAAGCACGGCTCGAGCCGGCACACCCATCCGAACCACCTACCCCACCCACCTGCACGGAATTTCGAGCTCCACCTACCGCAGATCCGATTTCTCCACCCGATCGTACTACCTTCTCGCGTTCCATGCCCACGGAACCAAAAGTTTTCTCCACCCCTTCAACCGGATCGCGAAGTTTAATTCGTAAAGATTTCGAATTACCCGGATTCGACATGACTAAATTTTCTCCGCACAAAAAAAAATCAAAAACAAAAAATTTCTACTCTACCACAAAAGCAAAAAATTCAAGAGAAGAATAGCACAGAAGAAGACTTAGAGTTCAAAGAACATACCCATATTTATTGCAAGAGTTGAAGTTTAATTCTTTCCACCGTAAAAGGAGTCTATTTATCTGGCCCTGGTATAATATTTAAAACCCTTAAATATATACTTCACTGCCAAATAAATACGATTATCCCTTATTTAAACTAAGGAATTATTTCACCGCCAAAGGAAACTATTCAATCCACGACGCACTTAACTCTCGACACGACCCGAACCCCTCTACACAAGTCTCCGTCTCGAATCGAGAGTTGGGGGCTTAATGATATACCTAAATGGGCCGACCCAATGGGCCCTCAAATATATCCACTAATCAGGCCCATTACACGAAAGCCCAAATACCTTCAAAGTAAGGCTTGGGCCCAACAAAGTAAGCCCAACCCAATCACCGAGATATAAATAGGTGTTTTACTCATTTGTAAAGGTACGTTCTCATTATTGACAATTCACCTCGAGTTTTATTCTCTCTACTCTCTCTACGATCCGTACATCTGACTTGAGCGTCGGAGGGGTTTCCGCCGGATCAACCCCCGGCTTAGTTCACGTGTGCTCTTTTCGCAGGGACCTCAGGAGCATCGAATTGACTAGCTACTGATCAGCTTTGCTCTCCCAGCTCGTTTTCTACATTATCCTAGGTGAGCTAAACTTTAGCATCATCATTATTGTAAACAGAGGTATGTAATTTTTATGGAGATGTTGTGCAATTAGTTTTGTTTGCATCTTCACAATTTTTGTTTTTATTTTCTCAACAGTTTCCATCTTTTTTTTTTTCATGTTTGGTGTATTTATATTTTCCAATTTTCTGATCGTTCGATCAAACAATAAATATTGACTCAAATTTCTTTTTTTTTCTTGAGATTTTGCCTGCGCTTCCGAAAACAAAGTAAATTTGAACACTGTTATGGTTTACAAATTATACAATTACTAAATTGTTTTTTCAATTTTCTTGTTCAAAATTTTATTATTGAGAAGGATTTAGATATTTAAAGGAGTGTCATGTTCAAATTTAACCTTTTTTTTTATGAACTAAGAGATTTTTTTTAGTGAAGTAATGCAGTTGAATATCTTAACAGTGTTACATTATTCAAAATATTTAAAATTGGAAGAATGATTTTTCTGAATCACTATTTACTTTTTTTGTTTATACTATTCTGTCCATAATTACGAGTTTTACTTATCAAACTTTATTGATACCACTTTGATTTAAAATTACACATAAAAATAAAATTTACTATAAAGTTTTACAAATTTTCACAGTAAATTTGTCTGATTATCTCAAGTTATGATTTTTTCATATAATTTTTGGCTGAAGGATTAAATTTTACATACTTCCGTTGTTTATGATTTTTCACTAAACAATTTAACATAATGATTTAGAAATGTAAAGAAGCATTGTGTTCAATTTTATTTTATTCTTAGACGAAAATTACGACATTAAGTATATATATCATAAACATATTGTAGGTAGTGAAATATGTGCATTTGAGTATCTTAGTTGTGTTGCATTACACAAAATCATTTAAAATAGGGAAAATTGCACATCACCCCCTAAAAAGTTCTAATTTTCGCACTTTACCCCCTCAAAATTTTAAAAAGTGAATGTCCCCCTTCAAAATGTTATTGTTGTTGCACACTACCCCGATAGCAAAATTTCGATGGATTATTCATCGGCATTTGAGTATTTTTGTTGCATGCTACCCCTTAAAAACATTATCTTTTTGCACATTGCCCCTTTAAAATATTTTTTTCCGCACAATGCGCACCAAATATTGGCTTATGGGGAAAAGTGCAACTAAAATAATATTTTTAAGGGGAATTATCCATTTTTTTAATTTTTACGGGAAAAGGTGCAGAAATGGAAAATTTGTCGGGGGTGCATTTTGTCCTTTAAAATTTGATGAATGATTTTTTAGATCACTATTTCGTTTACCGTTTTACTATCCTGTGTCCATAAATATGAGTATTACTTATCAAATTTTATGTCCAACATCTATTTTTTCAAAACTTTACATTATATTTATATTAATTATAGGGGTCTTATGATATAGGACCCTGGTAACAAAATTAATTTGAACTATATAACAAGCCCAACTAAACTTTTGTTTCACATCCTTTATTAAATTCATTCAAAAAATGTCCCTCCACACATAAATTCGAATTTGTATTAAGTAAATTTCAAACTGCATTTTATCATTTTATTATGCATTTAATCTCTTCATTTTTTCATCTAATAATATATTTTATTTTATTTTTACCAACTTGGTCATCTTTATTTTTTTCGTTTTTGACTCTAGCATTTTTAACGTTATTATAAGTAACTTTTTTTTTGAACATTTTATTGAAAATTACAAAAAAACAATTGTGTTTGGTAAGCTTTTGGGCTTCCATTTCCATTTTATTTTGGAGAAAGATGTTTTGGGAGAAGAATTTGAAAATTAAATAAAGTTTGTTTGTGTTTTGAGAAGAGATAATTTGTACTGTAGCAAGTCAAATCATGTCTGAAAGGTATTTTGGAAGAAGAATTTAAAAGATAAAGTGATTTGATTTTGTATTTTAGTGAAGACAATTTTCACTGTAGCGGTCAAATCATGTTTGTTAGAGAGAGAAATATTTGAATTTGTTTTGGGGAAAGTTTTTGAAAATAGTGTAGAAAGATAATTTTCATTTTGGGGAAAGTGTGAAAAGAATTTGAAATTGGTAACAAACATAGCCAATTTTTTCGTTTTTGTCAAATAATACAGCAGATTTTAAAAATACTATGGTATACTTTGGTATGCTATGCTGGTATACTATGGTATTCTACGATATACTATGGTGTACTATTCCGAACTCTATCATTCAACAACCCCAATCCTAGCCGCCGACCAAATTAAACCCTAGTCATCGACCGAATTAAACCCTAGCCGCCATAGCCGTCGACCAAATTAAACCATAGCCGCCATAGACGTCGACCAAATAATTAAACCCTAGCCGTCGACCAAATTAAAACCTAGTCGCCACCATCCGCCATAGATCAGACCTCCACCACCATAGTCGTCGTCTCCTGCCTCCATAACCATCACCTTGTTGTCGCCGCCTCCCCAGCCATATTTGCGCCATAGCCACCCCCCCTCAAGAATGGAGTGAAGTAATGGAGAGGGAGAGCGAGAGAGAAAAAGACAGAGTGAACGAGAGAAAGAGAGAGGAAGAGAGATAGCGAGAACGGGAGAAAAAGAGAGGGAGGGAGAGAGAGATAGCGTACTATGCGAGAGAACAGAGAGAAAGAACGAGAATGAGAGAGAAGAGGGAAGAACTAAGAAAAATAGATCTAAGAGAAACATGACTGTAGAATTTATGTATTTAGGTTGAGGGCAAATTTGGGATCAAAAAAATGTAAAGGATGTGAGTCATATTTATTTTTGTAAAAATGATTTAGTTCAGAAAGTATTATTAGGGTTGTATCCCACATGTAATTATGTTTCTAACTGGGAACCTCTAGCATATTAACCCTTGATTATATGCTTATTTTATCTTTTTAATTTTATTCCAAAATATTATCTTTCATGTATATCACCAGTTTCCTTTTATAGGATCAACGTCTATTGTTAAAACTGTGACACCACAAAAATAGTAAGTCGATTTCCTTCTTTAATGTATAGATGTGTGTGTGTGTGCATATATGTATATATTATCATTTATATATGGGTAAATTACAAAAACCCCCCTGAGGTATGGTCAAATTACAAAAAAACCCCTCTTGTTTGGATAATTACATCTACCCCCCTCAACTATGATTTTTTCGTACCTTTATGGTGCCAAATTCAACATAGGCATCTAGATTCCGTGAAATGTGCTCTAGTTTGTACTCTTTGTGTAAAAAATACAGTTTCCGATGCACCACCAACTGATATATACAAGCTAAAAATCACATATTATGGTCATCTTGCTTCATAATGTAGAGTTTGAATGGGATAAAACGGGTACAAAAGTGATAATATTCCATATAATCTCGAAGATTCCACTAAATTTGATGAGTTGAGGGGGGTGGTTGTAATTATCCAAACAAGAGGGGTGTTTTTGTAATTTGATCATACCTCAGGGGGGTGTTTGTAATTTACCCTTTATATATTTATACTTCTTTTGCTCTTTTGTAATTGCACTTGTGTGATGAAGGGGTTTTGTCAAAATTTCCCCTTTTTTAATATTTTTCTCTATCATAATTTTGGAACGTTTTGAAGTTTTGAAAATTATTAAAATAGATTTCAAGGGCTTTCTAATGAAATCTCATTTGTCTATATATTCATAGGGGCATTTTACTACCTACATATAAAGGAAGAAACCTTGCTAAGATTCATACTTTTATAGATAAAGTATAATTATAGATAGATATAGATAGCAGTTGAAAGTGCAAACTTAAAAAAAGAAAGAAATGTATGAAGAATGCAATGTCAATTATAAAATATAAAAAAACCAAGAAGTTCATTCGATATGAAAAAAGACAAAGTAGCAAGTACTCTCGATTACATAAAGGCCGAAACAACGATAACGGGGCTCGCTCTCGATTACAGTAAGGTCGAAACATCTTACTTGAATAGACTGAATCATCAGTTTGTGTTGGGCTCGCTCTCCAGTGCCGGCGCCGATTCCTCAGGCCCTAGAGGTTCTCCCTTCAAAGCCAAAATCCTTATGGATTTCAAGACAATACCCTTTATTCGACCAAGGCCCGATTTTGTGATAGTGAAACTGCCCATCGACATTGTCATCCATTGCAGTGGAGAAAACAAAGGATTCAAGTATCTGTGCAAGAAAGGGAATTTGTATTAATTGATCAAAGTGCAATTATCCAATATAAAGACCAACAATAACATATACATCAAAGGTGCTGCTCTAGCTATATACATCATATTGAACTAAAGTCGATTCATGCCAAAATATTGGAATTATTTCCTCCGTATTACTTGCCAAAATCTTGATGCAATTGATAACTCAGCAATATATGTATGCAACGACGAAGATATATTGAGCTGTGACAAAGATTATAATGCACCATGATAGCATAAACTTGGTTATAGAAGGTGTGAAGCGAAAAGTTAGCAAACTGCAGAAGCAGATGCAAATTTCTAAAGTACCCGTGCTTTCTAAATGCCATCCCCGCAGAATTTACAGTTTTTTCTTCAGCAAGCTCCTCCTCCTCAAGTCAAACCGTATTATCGAGTCTGAAAGCGACTTCAACACTAAAATGTCTGAATCAAGATAAATTCCCCCGTATCTACAATTCACTAAGAAAAAGTTGTTGACCCATCAAATTCTGGTGTACATCATAAAATGTCACTCACATCTGAAGAGTGACTTTGAGAATAAGTGTCACACCAGATAGCATTAAAAAACTTAAAAGGATGTTGACTTTCGAAAAACTAACACAAAAGGTTCAAATGAGATGAATGATCGATTTTTGCGCAAGTGTAAGTCACTTCTGAGGCGACAAGCTTTCATTTACACGTGTTTTAATCATTTTCTACGGTTTCTTTATGCAAATTTGCAGTTTTCCCGCATTGAAGTCTTCTTAAAGTTTAAGCTAGGCTCACTCAGCATTACATATGTCGGGTTTTAATTGAACCAATTAACTTGATAAATATCACATTCATTTGACTAACAAGTGAGTTCTACATAAAAGACAGTCAGATATCTGTATAACATAGTTCAAATGCTTACTTGATGAGTGGGAAGCCTGATTAATTCACACTAGTGTACTGGGTAATATTTTGTCTTCTTCTTCCAATCATGCCAGACCGAAGCAGCAAATATGACACCTGGTGTGGATCTCAGCAACACGTCAAGATTTGGCATCACAACAATCACTTTATACCTGACAACAAGTAAACAAAACCTTTTTAATATCCTCGTGTATTCTTTTCATCTTTACCATAAATAGAACATCAGAAACAAGAAGCTGAAGCTGCGTTTGACTGGAAAAACTAATGTAGGGCAACATTTTCCATAAGTATATAGTCCCATGTTCCAATACATGCTTTTGATGATATACGAAAATATCACATGCAAAACTTATATACCGACCAAAATATTTATGCATCTTTCGCATCATTCACTTGGAACACAGAGACTGGTTTATTACTCAGAATACAGAGCCACAGAATAAAAAGTACTGTCAACAAAAAGAAAGTAATAAACCATTCACACGCGCAAACCATGGTACATCACTATAAATAAAGTCAATAAAAACTACAACCCAAGCAAAAGGTAATGGAAACTAACCCTTTCTTTTCTTATCCTCTTAGACATATCAGAAACGAGTGCATAGTGGTTACTGTCGTAACATGCTGTCGTAAATGCGGCAAGTGTTACACGATCCAAAGTCTGGTTTGCATCTAACAACTTATCAAAAAACTGGGCTGCAATGTCGACTTTTTGTTCACTACAAAGCTTTCTGACTAACGTACTAACAGTGCGAACCCATAGCTTCTTGTCTAATCTGTCCAAAAGGGCCATAGCTGTGAAAGATTCATCCTTCTTGCAAAACTCATAAGCTATAGTCGTACGAGTAACTTCACATGGGGAGATACCTTTGTCCATCATCTCTTCAAATAGTGCTTTAGCCTCATCCAACATGGATTCCTTGCAAAGCCCACTTATTAGAGCCCCATATGTAAAACTATCTGGTGCACAGCGATTGCCGCGCATCTTATCGAACACCTTCATCGCCATGTCAACCTTACAATCTCGACAGTAGCCGCAAATCATAGACGTATAAGTCTGTGTGGTTGGAATAAGGCCCGTATTAGCAGCATCACAAAACATTCTTTCACATTCTTCCATCTTCCTTTGCCGTGAAAGTGACGAGATCAAAGTTGTGTAAGTATGCATATCAGGTGCAATCCCATTTTTTATCATCTTACTAACAAGAGCCAAAGCTTGTTTAACATCATCCCGCTTGCAGCTCTCGGATATAAGAATGGTGTACGTAATTTTATCAGCACAAAGTCCATCGTCAAAGCTTCTATTCAACAACCTATAAGCCTCCTCGACCATTCCCTTCTTACAGAGACCATCAATAACGGCATTATACGTACATATATTAGGAATTAATCCATCTTCGCCAATCGCGTACATCAATTTGTACGCTCTGTCGAAATCTCCAATCTTGGAATAACCATCAATAAGGGTAGTATAGGTATTCAAATTAGGGGCCAATCCTTGTTCCTTCATTTTCACAAGCAACATCTCTGCCCTTTGTAACTTCCCCTCCTTGCAGTATCCAGCAATCATGGCTGTATAAGTGTGCACATTGGGCTTGTAATTCTCACTCCTAACAAGTTTCAAGAAAAGACGAAACGCCTTCTCGATCCAACCTTTCTTACAAAGACCATCAATCAATGCCGTATGGGTATATACATTCGGTTTCAATCCTTTCCTGACCATCTCCTCCAACAATTCAAATGCTTGCTTAATGGTTCCCCTACTGCTCAACCCATTAATTAAACACGAATAATTGATTACATTTGGCTCCAACCCCATCTCAACCATCTTATTGAAGATCCATAATGCTCTATTTACGGAACCATTTTCACAGAACATATTTATAATCAAACTACAAGTAGCATTATCCACAAGAAAGCCTCTCCTCAACATAGCAGTCAACCATCTATCAGCATCCGAAACCCTCCCAAGTCTACAGTACGCCACAACCATGGACTTGAAACTATAGGAATCTGGAACCACCCTTCTCTGACACATTTCATCGAACACTTTCTCAGCCATCTCAACACACCCCATCTCATTCACCACACACAACGAGCAATTCAAAGTGTGGGCGCTCAAAACCAAGCCTTGGCTGTGCAACTCAAGAACCATGTCGACCGCCTCCTTCAACATCCCAACCTCGGAGAAATTCCGCAGCATACAACGTAAAACCTCGTGGGTTCTCTCAAAGTTTCCATTTCTAATCAAACAAGTGGCTGAAACAATGTAGAACCTCATAAAATGCCTGAATTTGGGGAACCCAATGGCCCAATAAAAGAAGCTCAGTGCCACCATTGAACCTGCCTCATCGGCCAATGAAGCAACCACAGTGATCGCCTGTTCCGCGGTCAAGAAATCAGAATCTATGGGCAAATTGAGCGAAGAAGGCGTCGAATCATAATGAGAGGGTTTCTTCTGTTGGCTGTAATATGAATCGCACACCCAAAAGCAGATTCGTTTTATGACTGTCGAAGGTGCGGCTGAAGAAGAGTGATCAATCATAGGCTTGTCGGAAAAGGTTCTGACGGTAAACAGAGAGATGGCGGCGCCGCCGCCAAGGAGGAGCACTTTGGATGCTACATTTTGGAATTGGATTTTACTCAGACGAATGGACACAACCGAAACCATGAAAGAGTCGCAATTTGCAACCTGCGAGGAAATTGGAACGCCTGCAATGATGCAACGGAAAAATTGTAGCTTTTAAGACAGAGGTTTACAATTTTACAGGCAGCCATTAACATAGCTTGGAGCAATGAAGTTCTTTGTATCGTATAAAGACGAGAGATTCAATACCAATAGCCCGTGCAAACAATGGCCAAACGGGCAGCCCGTTTACACATATATCTCTCCGCACAGCCCGCACATTAGCACTTGTAAGTTATAATATTGTGGCGGGCCGAACGGGCCCAATAACATATAATATAAAATAAACTAGTATTTCACCGGTGTAATGCAGGGGTTTAGTTTTAAAATGAACAAAATAAATAATATATAATTAATTATATCAATATAACAATTAGAATGTTGGTAAAAGTGAAATCAAAAGAAATTCAAAAAAGATAAGTATTATCTTTTATCAAGAGTTTTAGCATATGAAATGCAAGTAATAAAAATATGTGACACGCAAGATGCGATATGAAAACTACATACTACAATAGATGATACAAATATAATTTAGAATTTAATTGAATCTATCATTACGACGTCCAATCAGTGTGTGCGCTACTTAATATTTCACAGTTCAATTGATTCCGACTTGTTCAATCTCTTGATACAATTCTTAACCTTGACATGACCACGTACAATTGACTATGTCTTAAAACAGTTATGGGTAGGTATGCTCCCAAATGTGAGAGAGTTTGGTCTTAATTTCAAAATTTCCACAATTTTTGAAAATTGGAATAAATTTGTAGATTATGAAAATTTTAGAATTAGAATCGCAATTAGTTTTGTACTTCCGAAAAAAAAAAATTTTTTTAAAGGTTAATTTTGATCCGTTACATCCGACTTTCATCCCTATGAACAGATGCTGTACCAACTGCGAAAAAAAAAAAAAAAACCCAAAGATATTGCATTGGGACTATAATCTAATATTTGTAATTTGATTCAAAAATAGATCAAATCTCCAACCGTTGGAGGTAAATTTCAATCGGGGAAGACCATGTTGTTTCGTGAATGAGTATTTTGGATTTTCTTAAATATGACGGCTCTCTCTTTCTGAAAGGAGACTAAAGATCAAGAAACTGAATTTTTCATCCGTCAAGTTAACTAAACTCCACCTTTTGAAAGATAACGACTTCCGGGTGTGCCTGTCATCGAAAGAGGTGCGCCTCTGGTTGTCGTTGTTTTTGGTAACAAACTTTTTCCCCCTAAAATCCACACCAATGAATCGGAGAACACCAAGCAGCCGTCTACATTTTTACCATTCTTACACTTGAAACATAAGGCAAGAAGTGGAGTTGAGAAGCCAATTCAGAGTTATATCATATAAACGACTGTTACATACCTTACATTCATAAAATAGGTTTAAAATTATCAATGCCATAAAATAGGTTTAAAATACACAAAACAATTTAAGGAAAATAAAATAGAATCACGTCTATTCATTTCTTCTCAAGTTTGGTATTCTTCACTACCTAAGTATTCCATATTTGCATAGCTCCACCATCTCACAAATTACAGAAATTGTGGTATCATCATCACATATGAAATCCTAAATAGTGAATAGCAATAATGTTAAGTTCATAACAAATCTGCATAAAACAAATACATATATTTATAGATTTAACAGAGAAACACAGTGCAAAATTAGTAGAAGATAACAATGTTAAATGCATAGTTTGGAAATGACAAAAGAGGTATCACAGTCACCAAGTTTGTGAAAAAAAGAAAGAAAGAGGTTATGGATGTCCAACAAATACAATAAAATTTGCAGTCATTTCGTAAACAAAATGACTTGCAGTATGATGTCGTTAACATCACCACACAATCCATGAACTATTATAATTCAATATATATATATATATATATATATATATATATATATATATATATATATATGTATATATATATATATATTTATTTATTTATTTTGGATGTAGAAAAACCTGAAGATACTGTAAGTCCATACAAAATGTTAAATAACAAAAATGCATATTCTTGAACGTAAAGAAAAGATATGCATGTGTAAAACTTATGAATGGGGAACACTTTTAACAACTGAAGTTGTGCAAGTGAAGTCGTTATATGAAAAAGAAGATGACTACATTAGTTTGTTGTTATGCTGGAATTACACTTTTAACTTTATTTTTGTTTCGCTATATAACCAACCACACTCTGGTCCATCCCGTTCCACCTGTTATTGGAAAACAATTAGTATTTAATTAGAAAGAGTGCCAGTAATTTTGACCATGCATCAGTAGAATTGAACTAAAATCCGGCGCTTTATCTATTTCAATAACTATGCTATCGTTGACAATCTGAAAATCCAACATATAAAATAGTTGAAAATAAGCAGTATGAAGAATCAACATAACTGAGTAACAATTAGCATAAATTGGAATACAATATGCAGAGCAAATAAACTGATTTTAAGTGAATAAAGAACAAAACCATAACCCACATGACATTTGAGGGAAAAATATGGAGAGACGGGAGAGGCGGGAGAAAAAATCGCAATACCTCCAAAAAAACTTGCAAAAAATTAAAATTAATTTCAACAATGTGCAGTACAAATAAACAAAAATTAAAAGAATGGATACGATGTCTTGTGCGATCCCATGAATATTTTATACCAATTAATTTCGGAGAAAATAAGATAATGAACCTGGGCGCCAAGTTAAGAAGATGAAGATTTAGCTGGTTTTGTGGGAAAGAAAAGTGCAGTTCTCAGAAATCTAATGTAACTTACCGACGCGAGGGATTTGGAGTCCGATGCTCAATATTTTCGCAACAACACGTAAACTTAATCCCTGCAAAGTAAACTAATTCTTGAATCAGAATTTAAAACCATAAAAATTGAAAAAACCATAAACCAGCAACACGTAAACTAAATCCCTGTATATCAAATTTCTCTTGTATTTGTTTTACTCGGCCATGCTTAAGGAAAAAGAAAATTATTGGGTTTGTTTCGGCAAATCAGGAATACATGGATGGGGGCTCTTTAATTTACGTGTCCCAATTTTTGCTGTTAATAATTTAAAATAAATAGATCCAATCTTATTCTTACGTTTTTGCTTAAATTTGGCTCTTTTGCAGATTATAGAATATATGCCCTATCTTTGTTGAATAAAAATTTCAACTCCCGTTGGCAGTGGCTTTCGCTGGCAAACACTAAGCAATTGTGCAAAGGGACCTTCACTCCAACTCCCAGACGATTTTTGTTGAACTTTTGGCCGTCGGATTTTAGAGCTTCAATTTTGTGGGAAGTAATAATTGTTGAAATATTTATGTGAGAATTTGTGTTGATATACAGATGAGACATGAAATTGGAGATGAGAAGTTATTAAACTGATGGGAGAAAATGATTTCAATTGTCGGTTTGTGCAGTTGAAGGAGTGGGTAGTGAAAGAGAAAATTAAGGGGGAAATTTAGAGGAAAATGAGAGGAGATGATGAAAAACGGCTGAGATAATTTAGGGGAGATGAAATATGGGTTTATCATTTTTAGACCCAAAGATAGTAAGATTTTTAAAACTTGCCCTAGGGTTAGAAACCCTAAGGTGCCATGTGTCAGAAGATGAGCCAAGGTATTGCTTTATATATATATATATATATATATATATATATATATATATATATATATATATATATATATATATATATATATAAAAAGGTCTAATTAAACTTAGCAAGCCCCTCTAATTTGGGAAATTAATGTAGGACCATTTTCTTTAAGGGCTCTTTTAGTTTTCAGGATTGGATATATTATAGTCCATTGACTAATTGTATTTTTACTACTCAAACTAAGATTGCATGGAGATAATCTATTGTTTGGTTTGCAGTATTGAACACATCCGGACAATTTGTACTTGTCGTTTGGTGTGGATCATAGAATGGGATAGTGCGTGAAATGACAATAACACCCTTATTTACTCCATATTAATATCAGCTGGATTTCGCAAATACTCACTTGTGCAACATATAAATTATTCTCTTCTTGTGAATTTTCGAGCAACACACACATTCCATTTTATGAACCATTTTTTTTATTCTGAGTACCCGTTCATCATCTTTAACAAAAAGTAGGGCATGGAAGAACTCAAGCAATACAGGGAGCTACGGGTCCGTGAATCACCCCCCCCCCCCCCCCCCCCACTTTGTAAGTGTGGGTTGAAGGTCGTAGTTCTAACCTCGTGGACCGACGCAAACCCCAGTCGTCGATTTGTCTCATGCCCACAAAGAAGTGTACACTTTTGTTACATTAAACCGTAATTTCTTTTTTTTTTTTTTTTTTTTTTTTGTGATCTTGAGTCATAAATTATCGCTCTAATTATCTATACGATCTTGTGTTTGCAGGGACCTAAATGTGATTTTTTTTATTGGCGTGATCCGAAAATATGCGCACGAGCAAAACTGATTATCCCTGGGTTATTGAAAAATCTAGATGCACTGCAAAAGGAGTTGGAACTTTCTAAGAACCATAAGGAGGACAAAAGTGGTTATCTTTCAACTGTTGGACTCGTTTTATGCGTGAGTCTTGTTTGCATGTTGTTCATATGTTATGCGTAATGTTCTATTTAGCTTTGTAGTAGCATTATAACTTATCGACAATTGTCCAAGAATGTAGTAATATATAAATTTAGTGCCGCAAAATATGTTGGGTTAGCAAAACACACACTCTTACACACACAAACACTTACACATACATATATTACATTACCCGCTACTGCATACTCATGATATGTAGGATAGATTCAAAGTAACATGACAAAATGCATAAAAATAAAAGAAAAGGGAAGAAACCCAAAGTACCAATGTTTAAGACACTCTCAAACACAAGTAATTATGGAGATTTTCTCATCGGATCCACTAACGTTCTCATCTTCTTTTTCATGAGCTTGAATCAGTTCACTCATAACCTCGTCGGCCATGAACTTCTCGTTCTCAACGTTGGCAACATCGAGCTGCGGTGGAAGCATATGGAACACTCGGACAACTTCAAAATCTATCTGTCCGATTTTTTTCTCGTTGAACGTCACACTAGTATTATAATATTTAAAATCAAATTCTCTATAGTGACTTTGAACTGTTATTTCCTGAGCAATTTACAATGGACCAGATTAACGCAAAGAAACGCAACTAAACAGACAAAATCATTACAATTGCAAAATATATAAAACGCTTACCCTGGTCATCAAATTTCCCCATTAACTTGTATCAACCGAAACTTGATTAGTGAGATAGTCGTAGAACACCCCTGGTAATTTGATGTACTGGCCGAAGTCTTCAAACCGACTGTGAATATCTTGTAAACGTCCTTTAACAGACAACAAATTGCATATAATTCCATATACCTGAAACATTTGAATTGTATTTTGTTCGGTTATTGTGTTGACCACCTGAACGTTCTCCAACAAAGAAAATGGCTGAGATAGTCACTCCAGACCAGCCATAAGGTAGTCATCATAGTGAATCGGCCAATCATACGAATTGAACAAAATTTTCAAGGAAAAACCTGGTATCATACCTACTTTTGTATCCAATATACCAAAATAATATACCACAAAAATCTCACACCAAACACTTGTTTCAATGCATATCCTTGTGCATCGAGGATATAACTCAATGGATTATATCAGCTTTTAAAAAGATGGGAGGATGAATCGGCAACACAATTTTTGAAATTTAAAAAGATGCATAAAACATATCTTGATAGTCGGATGGATTATATCAACTTTTGAAAGATGGAGAAAGATACGACAACACAATCTTTAAAATTCAAAAAGGTGCATAAAGCATATCTACATAGTCTGATAGTTTGTAATACAAGTATTTAGGAGGAATATATTCCATTATACTTAAAAGCCACAGAAAGTAGAGGTGTGAAGAATATATTCCTTTGTTTTTCTTGGAATAGAGTATGATGATGATATGGGAATATATTCCCTGACACTGTAATGTAGTAGAAATGCTGACTTAATTTATTTTATAACTAATGGTGAATTAAGAAATAAAATAAAAATAATAATATGATTTAGTTCAGTTTATTACTAATGGTGAATTATAAATTAAAATAAAGTTAATAATATGTTTGTGGTTCAGTTTATAAATAGATGAAGGACTACTAGAATAACATACACGAACTATTTCCTAAGAACTGACATCCAAATCACCTTCTATATACCGACAACGGGATTTCTTGTATGAATTGGAGTGTGATTCGAAAATCGATGATTTTTTCATCGACATCCTTTCTTTCCAAGCGAGAATTGGTAATGTTAAACCTGGTGTTAAAAATATTTCTGCCATGATGACTGTTCAAGATGTCATTCTATGGGTACAATTTCTCGTACAAATATCCTCGAAAAAAGTTAGCCTTACTTCATAAACGATTTACTGTCTTCGGGTTGATGTTGAAGGTAGATGGAGTTGTGCATGATTCAAGTACAAACAAGATGTCTGCACCTGACAGCGTTTGGAATTTCATGGTGAAGGTATATTATTTAATAATTTATTTATTTTATTACATGTATAACCTTAACACCAATAATGTTAATTAATCTGTATGTAGAAACACTCGTTCGCTTCTGCTTATAGCACTTACGGGGATGTGAAATGGGAAAAATTGAAGTCCATCTTTTAACCAAGACAAGAAATGAATTGCTCCAACAATCCAGAAGTTATTGTTCTTTCATCTGGAAATAGCGATGACGATGATTCGAAAAAGCCTCACAAACATACACCAAATAATGTCATTGAAAAACTAACTGTCGTGGTTAACGTGTCGTCCGATATTCCGAGGAAGAAAGTCCAAAAATTTATGACGGACTATCTCCAATATGTGGCCAGCTCCGAATGCTCACTCGATTCTGAATTAAGTACTGCAAATTCAAGTAACCCCGTGAAGACCACTGGCACATTGTTAAATCAGATGCGTAAGAAGACAAAAACATATTTGGAAATGATGGGGAATATCAGCCGGCCAATAGTTATTCAGAATCGAACCATCCAACCGGAATGACAAAAAACGTGTGTAGGATCAGCCGTTTGCGCTGAAGTAGTGGTACTGCATTTCTCAAGTGTTCAGTTGTACAATCAATGCGGCTGTATAATTTTCTTCATGTTTTTTCTTTTTTTTTTTTTTTTTTTTTTTTGCTTTTACTTGTTGTCCACCTACTGTTTTCCCTTTTTCTGTTTTGTTTGTTAACCACCCATTGTTGTTTTTAGTTGAATGTAATGGGTTATTATATTATATAGTGTTGTAATATGTTTGGTTTATCATGGTATTTGATATCATATTATAGTTGGTGTATTTCGACTATATAATTGCAATTATTAATAAAATATGATAAATCACACAAAAAACCGTACTTTTAGGTCTTACAATAACAATCTTTAATGAAAATACACACATTAAAGCCTAGGAAATAGCACAAATAATCCAAGCGTTATACATCGCCATACGAATTAAGTCTCAAAGTTTGTCTTCGAAAAACTAGAAGTGAAGTCTAAAACGACTGTCCAGAATCATTTGAACAATCACAACTTTCTCTTCGTCATCGACGCTAAAGAAATGATCAAGATCTTTTGGCTTATCGCATATGATCCTGGTGACATTAACTTTATGTTCGGTTGCAAAAAACCTAATTTGCCAAGAGCATCAAACACCATTTTTCGAGCGGATGACTGGTCGGACTCAAAATCAATTTTCCGTACAAGCTCACTAAAGTGTTCATGAGTTTTGGCAAAAACGTTAGCCATTAACTCTACAACCTGTGAGTCCATATCAATATTAGACTTTTTTTTTCTTCTTTTAGATTTCGAAGTCAAAGCGGCTTCGCCATTGAATGTTGAGCTACGCTCAATTTCAGAGTCATTGTTTGATAAGTTCATGTAGTTGGACTGATTTGGACCATTAGATTCATGCTCACCACCTTTATCGTTGCTTAAAAGCTCTTGGACAACATTTGCGAAAACATCCGCATTTTCGCCGGTGGCCCGATCCTTTCCAAATATCTCCACCCAATCCGTGTAGAATGGCCATGATTTGTTGCGCATTGAACGTGCATTACTATCCGCCTAAGCAAGTAAAGGTGACAAAATGTTATAAAACGAAAAGAAAAAGAATATGCACATAAAATTATATATATATAAAAAAAATAGTGAATACGTAGTTGAAAGCACCTTAACAAAGTCGTTCCACACTTGATCAGAAGCAACTTCTATACTATTTAAGGATGCATTCCAACCAAAGCCCGACCTACTAAGTATTGTACTTAACGATCCATATTTTTTCTTGCACACATGAATTTTAGAATTTATGTGTGGATCCGTTTTAGTGCCAGGAAAAGCTTGTACCATTAACTATTCAAGTATCCCCAAGAAGCCTGTCTTAAATCCATTATCGCATTTCCATCCACGTCGGACAATGTCTTTCAACGAAACAATTAGACATTGTTCCTCTACCAAAGTCCATGATCAACGTGTAGAAACTTATTTCCTTCCATTTTTTGATATTTGGAAAATAGACATATTTAATATTCCTACTGAGCATATGCTATAAAAAAATCGTAAATAATAGTCAATAACAGAATCATCTAACAAATATGTAAACAAAAAGCCAACAAACAAGTAAACACAAACATCCGACAAACAAGTAAGCATAAAGATCCAACAAACAAGTACATATACTAAAGTTCATTACTGGACAAACAAGTACACATAACTAATAAAGTTCATTATCTAATAACAAATTCCAACTGAAAACAACTGAAAACATAGTTATCAGCAGCGATTCATGCAATCAATGTACATATCATTTACAATAGCATCTCTCCAATTAGTCCAAGCTTCAGAACTAGCCACAACATCAATAAATTATGGAGGTGGTGGGATGGGTCCATTAATATCAGGCTCAGGGACATTTGCCTCTCGGGGTCAACATCAACGTTTGCACGTATGAAGTTGTCAATGAGACAACATGCCATTATAATTCGGTTTTGGGCCTTAATCGGATAATATTCTGGACTTCTAAGTATTCCCCATCTGGATTTGAGAATACCAAACTCCATTTCTACAGCTTTACGAGCCTTTGCATGCTTCATGTTGAAAAATTCTTCATAATTTCGTGGAGCATTTATACCATGGCCATATTCCTGAAGATGGTATCTAGCCCTTCTTTACGGTGCTAGAAAACCATTCTCATTAGTATAGCCGCCGTGTACCAAATAGTATTTGCCTGTTATTTTCAAGTACCAGTTTTTTTAAATATATTTTTAAATTTCTAAAATATATTTTATATAAATTGAGATAAATTTCATACCGTTTGGAACCCTAAGCCCATTAGGTCTTGCAACCCCATCATGCAATATTCTGCTATCAGCGGCAGAACTCTCCCAATCGCTCAATACATATATGAAATTCATGCTATGGTCACATACAGCTAGTACGTTCACCGAAATATCACCTTTCCGATTTCTATACCTAGGCTTATCAATTTTGGGGACCCGAACCTCAATGTAAGTCCCATCTAGTGCTCCTAGACATCCCTACCAGTAATTATACATGGAAAAATTAGAACATAATCTGATTACACCGTCATAATATTATAAAAAAAAATTGTCACAACATTTTACTAGTTAATACATTACCTTAAATGGTTTTCATCGACCGTCCGTCCATGCAATCTACTTCTACCGGTTTTGGTGTGACCAAAAGAATCGAATGCAACATAAGGACTGCTTCTAAGACATTGTTAAAGTGGATGCTATGGTGGCCTAACACATGAAGGAAAATGGCAACTTGTTCGGGAACCAGGACATTTCTAGTAGCACGTATACCTCCAACATTTTCGAAAATGTAACATAGTCTGTTAAATGTGTCTCTATTCATTCTGAGATTGTCATGGCATATGGTATCACTTAGTCCAAATAATTTTCGCATTTTTTTAACTTGATCAGGAACTCTAGCTCTCAAATTGTACCTGAACTGCATATTATTACGGGTTCGTGTAGGCATACCTCTATTCCTCATTGACAGATAAAGACGTGTAAATAACAATAGGAACAAGCGTATATTAGATATCAGTTGGTATACAACAACAATGCATTCTTCTTATCCTGTAGTTAGGGCCATCACAGTTAAACTGCAACAATGGATGTAGGTTAATAAAATTATTCACAGACAAATCTAAGAACAACATAATACTCAGAGACAAAATTATACACAAACAAATTATACAGGGTCAAACACAATTCCCAAAATTTAGAACAACAACAACCGACCCACAAACACAATACTCAAGATACAAACCTGGATAATTATGAGCTCAAGAAATCACCTGGATAATTACTTAGCTTCGTCTCTTGTAGCTTAAATTCTTCGTGTTTTGAATACCTGCCAAAATACACACCATATGTTGTTGTAAAAACCCATTAAAAATAAACGTAAATCGATATATTGTTTCACCAAAAATATGATCCGCTAATTGCGATAATTGCGTGTTTGGGAATTACCTCAGCTATGGTTCATGTGTGAAGGGAACAATACAGCGTTTCTATTATTTATACCAGGGTGTGTGGCTAATTGTTTGATTTTGAAGGCTATTATTGGTTCATGTGTGAAGGGAACAATACAATTTTTGTCAAGTGGATCTGGCCGAAATTCCAGATTGCACAATCAAGGGTGTGCTGGGCTGATTCATAATCAAATAAATTCGGGATTTCAGTATCGAGCCTCTTACCTATATTGCGCATCGGGCATGCATGCAAACCAAACGCCTGATTAAGCCTGATAAAGCATCCTATCAGCCCTAATCTTGCAAACCAAATGAGCCCTAAGGGTCTTAGAGTCCGTTTGGCTAAGCTTATTTTAAACAACTGATAAGCTTTTACATTTGATAAGTTGTTTTAAAATCTGATAAGCTATCACGTCTTATTTTTTAAATTAATTTTTAAAGTGTTTGGGTAACAAATTTATAAGCTAATTTTTACTCATTTTAAGCTCTTAAACTGTTTGGCATTATAAGATCTGTTTACTCTCATAATGATATAAAAGGACATAAAAACCCCTGAAGTTGTTCTTTCTTGATATATACATTAATATAAAAAAAAATATGGCTAACAACGTACATTTTCATCTCAATCTCAGTAGAAGAGAACTATAATCGAAATATTAACACAAAATCATATTTTAATTCTTCTAATCTACTTCTATTTCTTCAATAAAAAATCTACTTCTACTTTGTCAAGACCTAAAATTGAGAGAAATCAAACTGATATGGAAACAAATTGCAATGGTGCAACTCAACACCACCATTTTCACCTCGAAAAAAAAAAAAAAAAAATAAGGGAAAAAGTCAGCACCACCAACGAACTTGAAGGGCAACTATACATGCTAAAAATTCTATCAGCATAAAGAGACGAAAAAGAGCTATCATTTTCTGTGTTGCATATTTTTTTTCTTCAAAACACTCAAAGATGAGGAAGAGACAAATGTATAACTAGAATATCTATATATATATAACAACATCCATAGTCGATCATATGATATGAAAATGCTTGCTGAAAATACTAATATTTCAAACTACAAATAAACTATTTGAACAAATTAAAGTACAAGCTAACAAAAATACATGTCCAGGTTAAGAAAAAAATAAAGCAACTTATCACTGAACTAAAATTCATCATCTTCCAGCAATATCCATAACAAGTGAGTCACGAAAAGTCATCCAATAAGCATTGGTTGCATTATTTTCTTTTTCCACATCAGAAGCTCTCGTAGATGTTTCACCACGGTGTTCTTCACCTTCTTAATTTTCATCCTCCACTATTTGAAATACCTCATCTGAAATATTTTTCTTTCTTTTATACTTGTGAACGGTCATAGTTGCAAGCATAATTTCTCTTTGCGTGTCAATAGTATATTACGATATATCGGCCAAAATATTCCATCTTGCTTTCCAAACTCTAAAAATTCGTTCAACAATATTTCAACATGAAGAATGATAATAACTGAAATTTTCTTCCAAACTTCCTGGGGCACGTAGTTGCCGACTACTAGCTCGACGATAGTCTTCCATATGGTATCTAACATTCTCACATCTATAAGGACCCATGTATCCTGACAAATGCGAGTATCCGGCATCAATCAAGTAATATTTTTTTTTCCTTTTGGGATAGAAAAATTGAGACTTGGATTACGAATAACTTCTCGAAATATCCTATTATCATGCAAATATCCTATTATCAGAGCAACTCCTTTCCATCCAGCCCACACAAATGTCAAACACATATTGAAATTTACTACTGCAAGAATATTTTGAGTTGGATAACCTTTACGTACAATATATGGTATTTTTTTTCCTTGTGGTAATCGAGCCTTAACATGTGTGTCATCAATTGCTCCAATACAATCCTATAAACAGTACAAACAAATAATGCATACAAGTTATTTAGAAGTTAAATACATGTGTATGAGTACTATATGAAACAAATAGCACTCACCTTAAAAAAACGGCATACAAGGCTCATGTTGAGGCTTATGATACCCTTTGCCCTCGTTATAGTTAGGATGAGGTGCAATTATATCATCGGTTAGTTTGCTGACAATTTTTAAAACTCTGTGAAAATGCCTTGATATCGTCTCACCTGAATGATTGAATAACTCTTGCAATAATCTATTACCAACACCATGAGCACAGGTCACCAAAAAAATTCCTACTATCTCGTAAAGAGACATTCCCCTTGTGGTTGAAGACCATATTGTTGGTTTAATTCGTGACAAAAATCAATGAACACTGGCTTTGTTAGACGGAAAGCTTGATGACACCTCATTTCGTGTCCATGTAATATCTCCTTTGTAAATCTATGACCTGTGCGAATAGATGCTCGACATGGTACTTTGTGACTGTAGTTCTCATAATAATTTAGTATATTGTGTGCCGTTATTTGACATATAACAAACCTGTCCAAGTCTTCTTCAAGTTGGTTCTCATCTTCAATAGTTTCCTCGTCAAAATTGATATTTGGATAAATTACGGAGCAGTTTGTAATATTCTACCACTCTATTTCCATAGAATCTTTTGAATTCCATGGCTCCATAGAACTGTACAAAGATAATAATAGATATTAATATATTGATCATTAGAGAATTTAATATATTTTTAACCAAGAACTATTTTTTGTTATTTCTTATCTAAAGATCAATACATCACAAACTCATAAAAAAACAATTCTAAGAATTTGCAGCACAATGTAAACGCAATTAATAAATCCAAAAATTGAACTCATAATATTATTGAAAACTAACAAAAGTCATATAAATTTCATACAACCACAGAGGGCAGAGAACCAAACACTAATAAATATAAAGAAGAATATTTTTCGTATTGAAAAGCTCAATAAAAAACATGAAAAAAATTCAATACATACTATGCGAAATCAACTTGTCCAACTGAAAAAAAAATAAAATGGTATCTCAAACAACTGAAAACAAATAAAATGATATCTCAAGCCCTATATTTAATTATTTTTATTGTATTTGTTAAAGTTATACTCTAGCCAACACAATCGAGCCACATCAGAAGGCTGATTAGCAAATGTTTCTCGAATATCCTTTTTGATCATCAAATTACTGGCATAATTCCAAAGTTCACTCAATGGTGGTATCCCTGGAAGATTATTTAACATCTTCGATGCGTCCGAAATTGTTATCTCTGTAGAAGGTGTATGAGTGATGGTGTTCTTTTTCTCCATAAACTATAGAAGGGAATCAATAACCATTCTTTTTTCAAAGGATTCCAACCGATTCCAGTCTTCAAAGGATTTCAACCGATTCCAGTCTCCTTATGCATTAATTTCGTAAACAATAACCATTCTTTTTTCATAGAATCCCAATGATTTCGAAGTTTCTTATATGTATGTATAGTTTCTCCCTGTCACCTCATTGAACTTTTTTTAATAAGTTCTTCCACCCATTGACATTGAAATGACTATTTGGCCGATTACCTTTTCCAATTTCTTCCTCACACAACTCAATAAACGTAAGATTCATAAATGTATCTCACTTTGCAGATTTTCCTTCAGTCTGCTGATTTGTTTTGCGTATATTATAACTTATACTTTTACCCAAGATTGGACTAGTCATGGCTCCTTTATTCCTATTATCCTGATTCTCCATCTAAAAATTTATTATCGAAAATAAAAAATTCTAATTAATTAATAGAGTATTATCAACAATTATAAAATATGGGGTAATATAACTCACGTGAAAAAACAAAGACATTGAAGCAACTCAACGTAACATATAATCCCAATAAGTCAGACATTTTTTTAATAAGAAAGGAAGTCAGACTATAATATTAGTAATGGATATTAAGGTCATTAGTTTAATAATATTTAACCAATACAGAATGCCAACTATTATCACATACACTTATTATTTACTATAAACAAACTCATGCACTTGTTGCTTTTATAGTATACAGAGAAAAAATATATAGATGAATTCATATACATCTATCTACTGACCCATATCAACTTAAAAAATCATACATATAAAATATAAAATCTCAGTAGTTTAATTATTAGCAGGATCCATATATTTTGCTAGTAGTTTCAAATCAAGAATCCTAGTAGTTTCAAATAAAAAATAAAAAACAGGGTATGATTGCCAACAAAATTGATGAAAAGCGTGCAAGCAACACAAAACAAAAAGGCTGAAATAAATGTACTGGTAATCACGAATCTCACCCACTAACCAAAAGATTATCCACGGCGTTGAAATATTTCTTGTTTAATTATGCTTAGGGTTTAGCATAATACACAGGTCTGGAATTATATTTAACGATATATATATATATATATATATATATATATATATATATATATATATATATATATATATATATATATATGAAGGAGAGTGTTGAGGGAATATGCTAAAATACTTTAGGGTAATTTAGCATTTTGAACGTTAAAGTATTTAAACAAAAAATATTCAATAAAAAATGTGGGGTAAGTACTATTTAAAAA